GATCAATGCCAGCATTCTTCGGTGCATCAGGTCGGTCAATGAAAATTTGCCCCGGCTTGGGTCGATCTTGGTCATACTATCTGCTGGCATCCTGCAATGAGGAACCCAACGCACGACAGTGCCCTCGGCCGTCATAGCGTCTCTGACGGTCGCCACCTCGATGGCATTGCGACGGTCTGCCTTGGCTCCTCCACTGTTCTTCGACAACGTGTCGAAGAGCGACTTCGCATCAACGACTGCGACGCCCTCGGAGGCCTTGGCGATGGCACACTCGTCTACCAGGGCCACGGCGAACGGGCAGGCCGTCCCTGAACTCCACCACTCGGGTCCTCGGACATCCCCATACAAAGCGTCCCGGAAAACGAGCCAGAGCCACTGTCCCTCGGCGAGAGTTGCGGAGAGGCTTCACGTCTCCGCAGAGAGCGTGGACCAGACCAATCGACGAAGCCTCTGGATTCTCCAAGACAGGAGGGACACCCGGGAGCGACGGTTGTCTTTTATCCGGGAGTCTCCGAGCATCACCAGCCATCTTCTTTGAGCGCCGTCCTTCTTCGCGGACCCGGGACCCCCGGCGTCACTGCACGTGACCATGGTCACGGCGCTTAAGTCAAATGGCCAGATCGTCAGACACGAGCAGGCGGTGCTGCGTAGGTGGCGAGCGACTTTGTTAGCCATCAGAGCAGAGGCCACGGTGACGTTCGGACATTCAGCACTCAACATCGAGGCGGATCCAGACACGTCGGGACGAGATTGGCGGGCCGCCCAGAGGATCTTGGCCACAAGGCCCTGGTAGTCCCTGAGTTCCCGATCGTCCAGAAGGTCCCCAGGTGACTTAGCACGTTCCTTGTCGACTCGCATGGCCCTGACCTGCTCCAGTATGTATTTCTCCTGGTCGATCTGGATCCGCCCGTCGGACTGCTGCCTGATCCTCCTTCCAGCGTGTTCAGCCTCGCCGATCTGCCATTTCCCGAATGAGAAACGACCGGTCAGCAGCCTCTTGAGCTCACCTTCGAAGGACTGTTCGCTCGCGATGACGAGATCGTCAACTTCGATGACGATGAGGGCTTTTAGACTTCCCGAGGGGTGGTGAGAGACCCAGAGGCAGGGTTCCAAGAGGGACCGCCGAATACCGATGGACTTCAGAAACGAGGTCAGCGTCTGATGCCACCTGATGGGAGCGTCGTTCAGTCCGTAGACTGGGGCCACCAGCTCCAGAGGGGCCCCCCGTGGGACGTCGACTCCGTCGCACGGCTCGACGTATATCTTCCCATTTGGACGGGAGAGGGGATCTGCTTGGCAAAACGCATTTTTACAGTCGGCTATCTGAAGTCTTCACCTCTTGCCAGCGATAAGCTGGAGAGCAACCAGCACGGCCTCCTCCTGGGGTGTTGGAGCGTAGACGCGGAGGGACTCCGCGTCCGGGTCGGCGTACCCCCTCACGCACCAACGTGACTTTGCCTTCGCGCTGGCTCCCGTGCCTTCCTGCGGCTTCCACCGACGGACCATTCTCGATGATGATGATGATGATGATGATGATGATGATGATGAGGAGGAGGAGGAGGAGGAGGAGGAGGAGGAGGAGGAGAAGGAGGAGGAGGAGGAGGAGGAGGGCGATGAGGAGGAAGGAGCAAGAGACAGTGGACAAGGAGGAGGAGGAGGAGGAGGAGGAGGAGGAGGAGGAGGAGATGGAGCATCTTGGCGAGCCCAAGGGTTTCTTTGAGCGTCTTGGGTGCCTGGGAGATCCTTTGGACGCCTCTTGGGGGCCCCTTGGGAGTCTCTTGGAGGCCTCGTGGGCGCCTCCTGGGGCTGTCTGGGCGCCTCTTTGGGCCCTCTTGGGGCGCTCCTCTTGGGAGCTTTTGGGGCACTCTTGAGGCCATCTTGGAGGACATCGATCAAAAAACGGGGTTCCCCAATTCCCGACCCCCCCGTGGGAGCCCCAACAGTCGCCTCGTGGGGCGCTCTTGGGGCGCTCTTGGAGCGCTCTTGGAGCGCGGGCCGTCTTGGGGCCCTCTTGGGTCTCTCCTGGGACCCCCTTGGGTCATTTTGGTTCCGTCTTGAGGCCTCGGATGGCCACCGGAAGTGGAAAGGCGAGAACATTACGCTACCGAAGAACCCCACATACTTCGTTTAATCACTTGTGTTCGCACAGCTGACGTGCAACATGTGGACAACGCTCGCAGCCGCTACCATGCTGCTACCGTCGAGAGGCGCTCATAGTGGGACCACCCCCTGCGCACCCCTTATGGCGTCGAGAAAGTGCCACGCCTGCTTTGTCTTGGACGTGAGGCGCGCATACCGAGACCACCCCGTGCGCACCCCCTATGGGGCCGAGAGCATGCCACGCCTGCTGTGCCCTGGGCGAGAGGCGCGCATAGCAGGACTCCGCCTGCGCACCCCCCATGAGGTCGAGAAAGTTCCACGCGTGCTGTGCCCTGGACGAGAGGCGCGCATAGGGAGACCACCCCCTGCGCACCCCCTATGCCGATGGGGGCGGGAGAATGCCACGTTTGGTGTGCCCTGGACGAGAGGCGCACATAGCGGAACCACCCCCTGCGCACCCCGGGCGGGGTCGAGAGCATGCCGCGCCTGCTGTGCCGTGGACGAGAGGCGCGCATAGGGAGACCACCCCCTGCGCACCCCCTTTTTATGGGGCCGAGAGCATGCCACACCTGCTGTGCCTTGGACGAGAGGCGCGCATAGAGAGACCACCCCTTGCGCACCCCCTTTGATGGGGTCGAGAGCATGCCACACCTGCTGTGCCCTGGACGAGAGGCGCGCATAGGGAGACCACCCCCTGCGCACCCCGTATGGGGTCCAGAGCATGCCACGCCTGCTGTGCCTTGGACGAGAGCGCGCATAGGGAGTGCCCCCTGCCACGTCTGTGCACTGGACGAGAGGCGCGCATAGGGAGACCACCCCCTGCGCACCCCTCTGATGGGGCCGGGAGCATGCCACGCCTGCTGTGCCCTGGACGAGAGGCGCGCATAGGGGAATCACCCCCTGCGCACCTCTTTGTGGGGTCGAGAGAATGCCACGCCTGCTTGCTGTGCCCTGGACGAGAGGCGCGCATAGGGAGACCACCCCCTGGGCACCCCATATGGGGCCGAGAGAATGCCACGTTTGCTGTGCCCTGGACGAGAGGCGCGCATAGGGAAACCACCCCCTGCGCACCCATTCTTATGGGGTCGAGAGCATGCCACGCCTGCTGTGTTCTGGACGAGAGGCGCGCATAGGGAAACCACCCCCTGCGCACCCCCTATGGGGCCGAAGGCATGCCACACCTGCAATGCCTTGGACGAGGGGCGCGCATAGGGAGACCACCCCCTGCGCACCCCCTATTATGGGGTCGAGAGCATGCCACGTCTGTTGTGCCCTGGACGAAAGGCGCGCGTAGGGAGACCCCCCTTGCGCACCCCATATGGGGCCTTAGAGCATGCCACGCCTGCTGTGCCCTGGGCGAGAGGCGCGCATAGGGAGACCACCCCTTGCGCACCCCCTTGATGGGGCCGAGAGCATGCCACGCCTGCTGTGCCCTGGACGAGAGGCGCGCGTAGAGAGACCACCCCCTACGCACCCCGTGTGGGGTCGAGAGCATGCCACGCCTGCTGTGCCCTGGACGAGAGGCGCGCATAGGGAAACCACCCCCTGCGCACCTTTTGTGGGGTCGAAAGGGGGCCACGCCTGCTGTGCCCTGGACGAGAGGCGCGCATAGGGAGACCACCCCCTGCGCACCCCCCATGGGGTTTTGGGAATGCCACGCCTGTTGTGCCCTGGGCGAGAGGCGCGCATAGAGAGACCACCCCCTGCGCACCCCCTATTATGGGGTCGAGAGCATGCCACGCCTGCGACGAGAGGCGCGCATAGGGAAACCACCCCCTGCGCACCCCCCATGGGGTCGAGATAATGCCACGCCTGTTTTGCCCTGGACGAGAGGCGCGCGTAGAGAGACCACCCCTGCGCACCCCCTATGGGGTCGAGAGCATGCCACGAATGCGACGAGAGGCGCGCATAGGGAGACCACCCCCTGCGCACCCCCTTTTTCATAGGGTCGAGAGGATGCCACGTCTGGTGTGCCCTGGACGAGAGGCGCGCACAGGGAGACCACCCCCTGCGCACCCCCTATGGGGTGGAGAGCATGCCACGCCTGCTGCACCCTGGACGAGAGGCGCGCATAGGGAGACCACCCCCTTCGCACCCCCATGGGGTCGAGAGAACGCCATGCTTGCTGCGCTCTGGACTGGTGCTGTGCTGAGCTGTGCTGAGCTGAGCTGAGCTGAGCTGTGCTGAGCAGTGCTGTTCTGAGCTGTGCTGTGCTGAGCTGTGCTGAGCTGAGCTGTGCTGTGCTGTGCTGTGATGTGCTGATCTGTGATGAGCAGAAGAAGGCGGAGGAGGGGAGGTGTGCGGGTGAGACGCGGGTGCGACGCGGCAGAGAAGAAAACCATAACCCCACGAAACTTGTGGGGAACAAAAAATTGTTTTCCCTAAGGTGTTGGAAGGGTGTTGACCTCTTCGGGGCCTCCTTGGGGAGCTCTTTGGCCACTTTGAGCCGTCTTGGAGCGGTCTTGGGGCCTCTAGGAGCATCTTGGGAGCCATCTGGAGGCATCTTGGGACATCTTGAGCCATATTTGAGCTCACCTTGGGCTCTCCGAGGCGCTCTTGGAGCCATCTTGGGCCATCTTGGACGCCCCAACCCCTCGGGGGACCCCCCGTCCAGGTTCAGGGGAGGGGGTAGTGGGGAGGGGTACACCCCTCCCCGAAGGGGAAGAGGGGAAGATGGAAGACACAACACCCTAGACCACCTACGCCCTGAAGGGCTGGTGGGATCAGTTCCTGTTCTCCACTGGCTGTCAGTTTCAGACGTTTCTGGGTTCAGCAGGAGCATCAGGGGGAGGCGGAGGGGGACTAAGAGGAGTTTGGGATCAGGAGGATCAGGAGGAGGCAGGGGCGAATGAGGAGAACGGCGAGGAGATGGGGAGTGAGGCGGCAAATTCCTCCGCCAGGGCGGCCACATCCCGGGCCTGCTTTGGCTGCAACAGCTACTTCTGGGGCAACGGCACGCTGTGTGAGGAGCCCGGGGGGGCAGAGCTGCAGAGAGGCTCCTCCCCTCATCGTCTCTCCTCCGCTATTCTTCGTCGGTCCTGTCTTCTCCCTCCTGCTTCTCCTCGCCCCTCCTCTCTCTCTCCCTCGTCTCCTCACCTTACCCACATCCGAGGAGGAATAGCGTGTGGAGGGGGGGGGAAGTCAGAGGATGAGGGTGTGATGAAGAGGAGGAGGAGGAGGAGGAGGAGGAGGAGGAGGAGGAGGAGGAGGAGGAGGAGGAGGAGGGTGTGAGGAGGAGGAGGAGCAGGAGTGGGTCCAGGCGGGGAAGGAGGGCGGAGGAGCGGATGCGAGGGGAGAGCACGGGGCGCCGGAGGAGGAGATGGGGAGAGGGAGGCCCGCGAGTCGGAGGAGGAGATGGGGAAGAAGAAGAAGAAGAAGAAAAAGAAAAGGAAGAAGAAACAAAAGAAGAGAAAGAACAATAATAAGAAAAATATGAATAATATGAAGTGGAAGAGGGATAAGAAGAGGAAGAGGGGGAGGAAGAGGAAGAGGAAGAGGTAGCTTAGGTTCGGCCGTCGGTCCCCGTGCGTTAGGCAATTAGGTTCGCGCGTAGCCCGCCCGACCTCTGACGCTGCTGGCGCACTCGCCTGCGGCCGCGACGAAAAAGGTAACCCCACCAGCGTTGTCTCTGTTTTCCTCTTCTTTATTGTTGTCTCTCTGTTCCTTCCCCTCTGTGCAATTTAGGCTCCGGCTTGTTAGCTGTAGCTTTGGACGGCGCGCGGCTTTTCCGTGTGCGCTCACGAACAAAATTATTCACTGCGTGGAGCTTCCCATATGTGCATCTACTCGCATGGACCTGTCCGCCGTGAATGTCTAGGCGCAAGAGCTTTCGAATATTAACGGGCTTCAGTTGTGACGGTCTGGACATCAATCTAACTGCGAATGAATTGGAGTGTGAATGAGCCTCAGTAGTACGAGCGCGTCTCTGTGCATGAGCCTGGGGCCTCCTGGGGCCTCCTGAAACCTACTGGGGCTTCCTGGGGTCTCCAGGAGCCTCTTGGGACCTCCTGGGACCTCCTAGGAAGGTTTCGTGCCCCAGGGGAGGCGCAAGCTATAGCAACAGACGTACATAAAACATTGCGGATTAGAGCCACAGGAGAAGGGCAATCTATAGGAACACGCGTAAAACACCAAGGACTCGTGCCCCAGGAGAGGCCCAATACATAGGAACATGAGTAAAACATTTAGGATTGTGTACACAGGAGAAGGACCATCTATAGAAACATACGTAGAACATCAAAGAATCGTGCTCCAGGTGAGGCCCAATCGATAGGAGCATACGTAAAACACATGGGATTGGAGCCACTCCTGTTGTCTTCTGAGGCCTCCTGCTCCTGGGGCCTCTCGGGGCCTCCTGTTGCCATCCGAAGCCTCCTGGCGCTTCCTGTTGTTTCCTGGGGTCTCCTGTGGTTTCCTGAGGCCTTCTGGAGCTTCCTGGGGCCTCCTGGAGCCTCTTGGGACATCCTGTGGCCTCTTGAGTCTTTCTGTGGCCTCCTGATGCCTCCTGGGACCTCATGTGGTCTCCTGGAGCCTCCTGGAGCCTGTTGGAGCCTCCTGTGGCATCCTGAGAAGAATCTGCGCCCACGAGCCTGGCCACCAAAACTAGCAAACCGATCGAGACATCCTCAACATCTGGCCCACCTGAGGGGTGAAAATGAGCGCCTCGCTCGAGACATCCTCCAAATCTGCTCCGAAAGCGAAGGATGTTGGGCACAGAAACAGGCAAACCGCCTGAGACATCCCCACAAAATGGCCGCGAACGAGCCCGTGCAACCACCCCTGGCGGATCCCCTGAGGGGTGGTGAAATGAACGCCTCGCTCGAGACATCCTCCAAGTCTGCTCCGAAAGCGAAGGATGTTGGGCACAGAAACAGGCAAACCGCCTGAGACATCCCCACAAAATGGCCGCGAACGAGCCCGTGCAACCACCCCTGGCGGCTCCCCTTAGGGGTGCTGAAATGAGCGCCTCGCTCGAGACATCCTCCAATCTGCTCCGAAAGCGAAGGATGTTGGGCACAGAAACAGGCAAACCGCCTGAGACATCCCCACAAAATGGCCGCGAACGAGCCCGTGCAACCACCCCTGGCGGCTCCCCTTAGGGGTGCTGAAATGAGCGCCTCGCTCGAGACATCCTCCAAATCTGCTCCGAAAGCGAAGGATGTTGGGCACAGAAACAGGCAAACCGCCTGAGACATCCCCACGAAATGGCCGCGAACGAGCCCGTGCAACCACCCCTGGCGGCTCCCCTTAGGGGTGCTGAAATGAGCGCCTCGCTCGAGACATCCTCCAAATCTGCTCCGAAAGCGAAGGATGTTGGGCACAGAAACAGGCAAACCGCCTGAGACATCCCCACAAAATGGCCGCGAACGAGCCCGTGCAACCACCCCTGGCGGCTCCCCTTAGGGGTGCTGAGTATGAGTAAGTCTGTGTATGAGTAAGTCTGTGTATGTGTACGTCTGGGTATGACTAATACTGTGTATGAGTAAGTCTGTGTATGAGTAAGTCTGTATATGAGTATGTCTGAGTGTGAGTAAGTCTGAGTATGAGTAGGTCTGAGTATGAGTAAGTCTGAGTATGAGTAAGTCTGTGTATGAGCAAGTCTGAGTATGTCCGACAGGAGGGGAGGAGAAAAGAGGAGGAGGAAGGAGAAGGAGTAGGAGGCGTCCAAGTAATAACAATAACCCCATCTTAGGATATGGGGAACAAAAACCCACCAGCCCATCCAGAAACGATGCACCGACGATTTGCTCTGATCAGAGATGTGGAGGAGCATGCAGTGGAATCAAGGGCTGGGTCAGACGTCGTACCCTAAGAGGGGGAGGATGGAGAAGGAATCGGAGGAGCAGGAGGAGGAGGAGGAGGAGCAGGAGGAGGAGGAGGAGGAGGAGGATGAGGAGGACGTAGAGGGGGCAGGGGAGGACGGAGGAGGAAGGTGGAGGAATAGGCGGACGAGAAGAGGTGGAGGAGAAGGAGGAGGAGGAGGACGACGAGCAGAAAGGCCAGAAGCCACTTGGATGCTTCTTGGAGTCCTCTTGATGTGTCAAGGGGGGTCTTTCGGCAGTCCCGGGTGTCTATTGGCGCGTCTTGGGTGCTTCTCCGGAGCCTCCCGGGGCCTCTTGGGGGTCTCTTGAGAGCCTTTTGGGGGCATCTTGAGGCTCTCTTGGGGCCTCCCAGGCATCTCTCGGGGCCGTCTTGCCGTCTTGTGGCACCCTTGGGAGCCTCGGGAGCTATCTTGAGGCCATTTTGGAGGAGATCGATCAAAGGAGGGGCCCTAGTATATTAAGGCCACCCCCCCAGAAGGCCACTATGTGGCCAAAACCTTCGCAGAATCACCAATGGGTTTGGTATCTTCGCCGGGGTCTCTGGCGCGTCGTGGGTGCCTCCGGGGGGGCCTCTTGGGAGCCTCTTGGGCGCATCTTCGGGGCCTCTTGGGGCCTCCTGGACACTTTGTGGGGCCGGCTTGGGGCACCCTTGGGAGCCGCGGGAGCCATCTTGGAGGGGGGCTCCTTAGTTAGGTTACCCCCCCAAGAGGCTAAAATCAGGCCAACACCTTAACAACAGTTTGATGGTTTTCGTCTTCTCGCCGAGGCCTCTTTGGGCGTCTCGGGTACCTCTCAGAGGCCTTTTGGTGTGATGTTTGGGGTCTCTTGGGAGCCTCTTGTAAGCATCTTGGGGGCATCTTGGGGGCCCCTGGGAGCCTCTTGGGCACCACTTGGGGCTGACTCGGGGCACCCTTGGGAGCCTCGGGGGTCATCTTGGGGCCGTCTTGGAGGAGATCGATCAACGGAGGGGGGTGGCTCATCAGTTAGGTCCGCCCCAGAAGGCCAACATGTGGCCAGAACCTTAGCAAACACGGTGATTCTGCTTCCGCGCCGAGGCCATCTTGGACGCCCCACCCCCTCGCGAAACGCCCCGCCCAGACCCAGGGCCGGGGGCAGGGGGAGGGGTCAATACACCCCATAGATAGCAAGCCGTCTAGCTCACCCCCACCCGCCGTCCCAACACATCAGAAAACACCCGAGCCTGAGCATTTTCAGCGGTCGCCTTTGGATGGACAGCTACTGAGAAGCAAAAACGACCCCATGTGCGCGACGCTGGGGCGAGGTGCGCCACGCGTGCCAGGCGCGCCACGCGCGCCAGGCACCCCTGGGGCCCGAACGTGCCAGGCACGCCTGGTACGCCAGATGCGCCACGTGTGCCGCATATTCCAGCCGCGCCAGGTGCACCACGTTCGGGGCACGTGCAGAGTGTGTCAGGTGCGCCTGCGCACGTGACAGCACACATCGGGAAACATGTCGGCACCCACCATCTTTGTCGAAAACCAACTCCCATCATTGTGTCTGGTAGGCCTGCGCACAGCAGGCCATCCGCCACCGCCCCGGTCGCCGCTGTCAAAAACCACTTGACAGTGATCGCGGGTTGGCCGCGCATGATCCAGATTTAGCAGGAGGTGCATGTTGCATTGGTTTTCGTCAGGGATGGTAGCCCTGCGCACAGCAGGCAACATGCCGACACCCTCGCCGTCCATGCCAAACACCATACAAAGTGCTCGCGGGCCTCACGAACATGATTCAAGACTTTGCCCCAAAGTGTACTGTGTAGTGTTCTTTTGACAGGGATGGTCGGGGAGGCCGCATCGGCTTGGCCGCGCATGCTCCAAATGTGTAGGCAGAGGCTGTTTTGTATGTTTGTTGACAGGGATGGTGGGGGCGGGGTGAGCCTGGTTCCAGGTTGGCTGCCGGTCGCCTGGGGGAAGGGTGTAAACCCTTCCCCGAAGAGGAAGAAGGGGGAGGTTGGATCGGCGGCGCGAGCGAGGGGGGGAAAGTGAGAAGGAACAGACCTTTTCAGAAGGCGGCGGGGCTTCTCAGAAGCCCTCGCGCCTTCTCACTCAAAGATTTCCTGTGTTTTCGGGGAAGGCTGAAGAAACTTCTCAGAAGGCTGGGGGACTTCCGAGCCTTATGAGAAGGCCCGCCCCATCTCACTTACCCCTAGGCGCGCCCCCAATGGAAGAAGAAACGCTCTAAACCACACACGACCAGAGGGATGGTGGGATGCGACCGTATATCGCACACAAGTCACATGAGTGTCCTGTCATGCCCTGCCCCCTCCAATCCTTCCTCCCCCTTTGTTTCTCTTCGAGTTTTGCATGGTCCGCGTTGGGGGAAGCGGGGGAAACAAGGACCAGGGGAGGACAAGAACGAGGATGAGGAGTGGGAGGGGCTGGGAGCAAGACGAGAAGGAAAAGGGGGGCACAGGTGGAGGGAGAAGGGAGTTCGGCTGGCAGGGAGGACGGGGAGCAGCAGCAGGACACGGAGGGGGGGGGGGAAGCGTGCCGCCTCTCGGGGAGGCAGGAGGCGAGCACAGCCCAGACGCCGTGCCTGAGCCGGCAGGACTGCCAGAAGAGTGCCGGCGAGTCGCGGACCGCAGCCAAGGCGGCCGCGCTGGTGTCGGGGGCGGAAAAGAGGGGGGTGATGACTAGGGGGGGGTGGATATCATGGAGTTGCGTCCATTTATTTAATCGCTTCGCTCATTCCGCCGGCCCTGGAGCGCTATTTGGGGCCTCTTGGGGCCGTCTTGGGGGCCTCTTGGGGGCTTCTTGGGAGCGTCTTGGGGCTCCTCGGCGGCGTCTTGGGCTTCCCTGGGGCCTCTTGGGGGGCTCTTGGGGGCCCCTTGGGGCGGGAGGGGGGGTAGTCGATCGCAGCCACCCCCTCGGAGGCCACGATCCTCGTGAGGGGTGGCGAAAAATAGCCTCCCCCCTGGGGATCGCCCGGGACCCGGCCGGGGGTCAGCCGGGGGGCCCCAGGGGCCGCCCCGCGCGCGCGAACTACCGGCGAATTGTTGACGCTTCGCGTATCCCCACCAGCCCATCCAGAAACGATGCTCAGGGGAGTTGAGGTGATCAGGGAAGTCGGGGAGCATGCAGAATAACAAAGGGCGGGGGAAGCTGTCACAGACCCCGAGAGGGGGAGGATGGAAGAGGAGTCGTCGTCGTCGTCGTCGTCGTCGGAGGAGGAGGAGGAGGAGGAGGGGGAAGAGGAGGAGGAGGAGGAGGAGGAGGAGGACGGAGAAGGAGGAAGAATCGGAGGAGGAGGAGGAGGAGGGGAAGGAGCTTCTTGGGGGTCTTTTGAGGGCCTCTTGGAGGGCTTTTTGGGCGCCTTGGGGCATCTTGGGCGCCTCTTGGGACCCTCTTGAGGCGCTCTGGGGAGCCTTCGGGGCGCTTTTGGGGCCATCTTGGAGGGAGTCGATCAAACAAGAGGGGGGGTTTAATTAGCGTCCCCCCTCGGAAGCCCCTAAAATCGCCTCTTGGACCCCTCTTGGAACGCTCTTGGAGTGCTCTTGGGCGCTCTTGGGGCCGTCTTGGGGCTCTTTTGGGGCTCTCTTGGGGCCCTCTTGGGCCATCTTGGAGCCATCTCCAGGCCTCGGATAGCCATCGGAAGCGAAAAGGCGAGAAAGCAAAAATCATTGATTTTCCTTAGGTTTTGGGACGATTTTGGCCTCTTCGGGGCCTCCTTGGGGAGCTGTTTGGCCACTTGGAGTTATCTTGGGGCCGTCTTTGGGCTTCTTGGAACCATCTTAGGAGCCATCGTGAGCGATCTTGCGCTATCTTGAGCCATCTTGGAGCTCATCTTGGGTTCTCTGAGGCGCTCTTGGAGCCGTCTTGGGCCATCTTGGACGCTCTAACTACCCGCGGCCCCCCCCGTCCAGGTCCAGGGGAGGGGGTAGGGGGAGGGGTAAACCCCTCCCCAAGGGGGAAGAGGGAGGGGTGGAAGAGGATCTGCTCTAGACCACCTACGCCCAGAGGGCTGGTGGGATTTGTGTGTTCTTTTTGCGCTCCTGTTCCATCGCTGCCCCTCCTTCGGCCCGTATCGTTCTCTTGACGGCCACGGGGCTTGGCCTGGCGAGGCCCCCCCCCCCCGAGTCCGAGGAGATTGAGCAGCACAGGGAGCATCCGCCGCGGCCCCGTCTCGACGCAGGGCTGGACCTAAACGCTGTTTTACTGGATTTCGGCAGTGTTACGTTTTTCGCGTTCGGCACACGAAAACAAACACAAAACGAAGCGAACACGTGGAGCAAAACGAAAGCAACACGAAAGCAACACGAAAACAAAACGAAATGAAAACAAACAAAACGTGGGGCAAAACGAAAACAAAACGAACACAAAACGAAACGAAAACAAAACAACGTGGAGCAAAACGAACACAAAACGAAGAAAACAACGTTTAGGTCCAGCCCTGTCTCGACGCGAGGGGGGCCCGGCGAGAGGCTCCCCAGGGCCCGACGCGATTCGGTCATGGCGCGAGGGGGTCACTCGGAGGAGGAAAAGGCACCCCTACTTAGCGCTGCCCTTTGCCCCGCTTTCCCCTTTTCGGCCCTCCTCGGAGGCCCTCGTCGCAACCGCTGGGTTCGCCTCGAAATCCTGGTCAGGGCGCGCACCGGGAGAGATCTGGGGAGTAGCCGTATCGGTACCTTTTGGTCTCCCCAGTCTCTGTGCGGGCAAGATTTTTATCCATATCCACTGCGTCTTGGAGTGTCTGGCCCCCTTCCTCCAATACCAGGGGCGCCGTGGACATAGATAAAACGATTTCGCCCCTGGGGGTTAGATTCTTATCCATATCCAATGCGCCGCGGCCTGCTGGCGCCCCTTCCCAGAAAGTCCAAGACGCAGTGGATGTGGATATTAATCGTGCCCGCACTCTGGAGGCGGCGGAGGCAATGGCGGTGCTCCCGGGGCGCCACGCGCCTCGTAAGGAGGCGGGCTTCGGGAGCGCTCTCCGTGTCGTTGGCAGGTGTCGGCCCGTCGTCGGTCGGAGTTGCCGCGCCCCACCGAGAGGCCACGGGCTTGTCGTGAGAAGCGGGGCGGGGACGGGGAGAGGAGGGGGGCTGGCGGCAGGAAGTCGAGGGACGGGAAGGGGAGGATCGATGGTGCGGTCGGGAACGCTTGCGCAGCGCAGCGCGCCGCCAGTTGAGGCCCAGGACGCTGCGACGCGCTAGCCACTTCCCAAGCGTCAGCGTCCCGAGCCATTCCCAGCCTTCCGCCCCGCGGAGAGGAGCGACACGGCGCCTGCTGCCTGTAGGGCACAGCGAGCCGCCGTGGCCGCCGCCGCGACACACCAGGCAACAGCTTCCGACCGTAGCCTGAAGGGGAGGCAGAGGCGAGGGGGGGAGGAGAGGCAGCCAGGTGCATCCAAGCCGTGCACCATCGCGGCCACTCTGAGGCAACAGGGTACCCCTGTGCTGATGGCGGGCAAGTTTGTGTCCGAGCCAGTCTCGTCATTTCTCGCTGAAGCCATTGCTTTGGACGAGGCTGTGCAGGCGCTGGCCCAATGTTTGTAACTGCCGTCATTATCACAGCCTGGGCTCTCGGAAAAGAAAGACAGAAATAAAGAAAGGAAGAGAGAAGGACGAGGAGATGAGGACGGAGGGATGGAGTATGGCAGCTCCGCGCGACCCTGCTTCGCCTCGGGGCAGCATCAGAGGCATCGTGCGCCACGGAATCAGCGGGGGTCAGGGTGGGGGAGGGGCGATGCTGGGAGGAGGGTGGCGGGGAGGGGAGCTGCGGACTGCCAATTGGCCTGCCACTGTAGGGGAATGCCCCTCGAGGCTTTGACCGCCCCGCCGCGAGCGCCGCCACCCTGGAGGGCCCGTGGGCCAGCGCGGCGGGGTCAGCGGACTCGGGACCTTCAGGCACGCGCTCGCCCGCACGTCCGGGCCCCCCTGGCCAGGGGGAGGGCTGCGCAGAGGGAGACCCAGGCTCGAGCATCGCAGAACGAGGAGCATCGAAGATCGAGGAGGATCGAGGATCGACGATGAGCTGGGATCGGGGAGGATCGAGGACCCCAGACCCCCGACGCCATGGCTTTGGCTCATACCGTGGACCTTCGGCGGTCTGGAGCCCGCCCCCGGGACCGGCCTCTCCTCCCGAGCCGTCGTCTGACGGCCCCCGGGGGCCCAGCGAGGGCCCCCAGAACTTCGGGGGCGGCAAGGAGGGGTGTGAAGACTAGTGGGGGTGGTGGATATCATGGCGTGGGCCATGAGATTTCCCCAGATCTCATATGGCGCCCCTTCTTCTTTCATCACGTCCCTGGCCCCCCCGCTGGGCTGCGCACATGCCGCCGGTCATGATCTACACCCCCCCCTCTTGGACACCCCCCTCCTGGCCGCTCCCGAAAGCTGATCGGCTACACTCGCAGGCCTGAAGGTTGACACCAACACCAAGATCGGTGGTGTCCCTCCACCGAGGGAAGGAGATCCCGATCTCGGTGATGGTGGTAATTAATATTATGGCTTCCCAGGTGACCGAAATGTCACCACCAGCACCGAAATCTAGGATCATCTTCCCCCTGTGGAGGCAACCCCCCTGTGTTGGTGTTGGTGCCAATTTCCAGGCCTCCAAGATGTCGTGGGTACGGGATGGTGCGGGCTGCGCCCTGTTCGATCAGGAGCGAGCCCGCGGGCGCAGCCTCTTCCGCAGGACCGTCCGGCGGAGGGCCACGCCGAGAGAAGCCCAAACGCGGCCTCCGGCCCGGGCCGCCGCTGGACGAGCAGAGAGGGGCGGAGGAGGAGGAGGAGGAGGAGGAGGAGGAGGAGGAGGAGGAGGAGGAGGAGGAGGAGGAGCAGGCCTCCAATACACGTGTCAGAGTGACCCTTCGCTGGAGGGACCTCTGCGTGCGGGCCCACCGGGGGGCCCCCCGATGTCGATGCGCGCGAGGACACCGCAGGGGCCTGCGCGCGTGGATTTGGCCACCTCGCGCCCCCTTGAGGTCCGCGCACCGAGGGCTCTTCTCACCTTAAGGGTCGCCCCTGCGCGTAGCCGGGCCGAGCATCGCAAGGGGGTCCCTCGTGGTGCTTGCCGCCGGACCCTTGGCATCGCTCGGACGTGTGCGTTTTTTCCTTCGGCGAGGGCCCTCGAGGAGCATCCTCTGATCATGTGGCGAAAAAGCCGCGCACGAGACCGAAAAAAAAGCACAGGGAATGGACGTCCGAGCGATGGCCAGGTAGCCGGGCTGAAGATCGCAAGGGGGCTCTCTGAGGATGACTCGGTGTCTGTGGGTCGCGGGGCGCGCCGGGCCTCTCGACCCCTCCCCTCGGCGCGGCGAGCGCGGGGGGGGGAAGGAAGAGGGAGCATGCCCTCTCTCTCGGAAGGCGGCGGCGCCTCTCAGAAGCCCCCTCCGGCCTTCTGAGCAGTTCTCTCTTGGCGTCTTCGGGGGAGGCGCAAGAAGCTCTTCGGAAGGCCAGGGGGCTTCCGGGTCTTCCGGGAATCACCACCCACCAAACCACCCCAACCCAACCCGAAGGCTCAGATTTACCCTCGGTTTCCAGTGGGGGGGTCGGGAAACATAGAAAAAAACACATGTAGAACCCTTACCCCCCCCCAACCCGAAATTCGGGTCTTCGGGTTGGGTTGGGGTGGTCTGGTAGGTAGTCAGGGAAGGCCCGCCTCTTCTCGCTCCCCCCCGGGCTCTCCGCCGATTCCCTGGAGCCGGCTCCTCGCCCCGCGTCTTCTCGCGAGGCTGGCCTCTCCAAGGGGCCACCGACGGTGCCGAAGCACGTGAGAGGCTCCTTCAGCGTCGGGCCACGCGCAGAGGGGGCCGAGGGGTAGGAGAGGGATGGCTTCTTAGAAACACCTCTGCTCCTGGAGGGGGCTGAGGGGGAGGGGAAGGGCTTCTCAGAAGCACCTCCGCTCCTGGAGGGGGCTGAGGGGGAGGGGAAGGGCTTCTTGGAAGCACCTCCGCTCCTGGAGGGGGGGTCAGGGAGAGGGCTTCTCAGGAGCACCTCCGCTGCTGGAGAGGGGTCAGGGGGAGGGGGGGAGGGCTTCTCAGAAGCACCCCTGCTTCCTAGAAGGCGCGGGCCTTCTCTATAGATGTAGGGCCGGCGTTTTCTAAGAAGCAGCCTCCTCCTGAGAGGCCTTCTCGCCTCCCCCTGCCCCTGTTGAGCGCGCCGCCAAGAGAATGAGCCGAGAGGGCTGGGCTCATTTCGACTCCTCCGCTTCGATACGATTCGGTTTCGATCGACGCCGACGCCGCTTCGATTCGACCTCGGGTGCCGAGTTGGACTTCGGTTTCTCCATCGAGGCCTTCGACGTCGACCTCTCCCTACTTGGCAGCCGATGTCCGCCGATGCGATTCCCTTCGATGGATCGATTCGATTCTCGGCGTGGGCGAAAAGCGTACCCGCACCCGAGGCCTCTCGGGATGCGCGCTCCTGGGCAGCGACCCCGCAGATACGGGGCGTTTTGTTCGCGGAAGCCCCGCGCGGAGCGCACCCCGTGCGACCGCGTAGCCGCGGCGTCGCGCCCGGGGATCCAGACCGCGAGTGCACGGATGTTCGCTGCTCGTGCGGGGACGGGGAGGCAGAGGGCAGCTTGGCATCGCTCGGACGTGTGCATTTTTCTTTTGGCGAGGACCATCTAGGAACATCCTTGATCATTGGGCGAAAAAGCCACGCACGAAACCGAAAACAAAACAGGGAATGGACGTCCGAGCGATGGCGAGGCAGGGCAACAGAGCAGGACGACGACCACGCCGCCGGCGCAGGGCGCCGACGACGCCGACGCCGAGGGCGGCGACGACGCCGACGACGCCGGCGGCGAGGACGAGGACGCCGCCGACGACGCCGACGAGGATGACGACGACGACGACGCTGACGACAACGACCACCACCACCAACAACAACCATCACCACCACGCCGCCGCCGCCGACGACGAAGACGACGCCGACAAGGACGACGCCGACAACGAAGACGACGCCGACGCCGACGACGCCGACGACGCCGAGGGCGGCGAGCGCCCTCCCGAAGGCAGCTTCGGCCACCGCCACCGCCGCCGGGGGCGCGGTGCGCGAGGCCAAGGGGACTGGACCCTATTCGCGCCTGGCGTCCTCACCGCCGTCGTCTTCGTCGCCGCCGTCCTCGTCGCCGTCCTCGTCGCCGTCATCGTCGTCGTCGTCGTCGTCGTTGACGTCGGCGCCGTCCCTGGTGCCGCCCTCGGCGATCGGCATCCTCGATCGTCGTCGGCGTCGTCGGCGTTGGCGTCTCGTCGGCGTCGGCGCTGGCCGGCGTCGTCGTCGTCGTCGTCGTCGGCTCCTGTTCTGCTCGCTGCGCCCTGCTGCCCTGAGGCGGAGGCGGGATAACGAGCAGGTCGCCGCTCGTGTCGCCGTCGCCGCGTCGTTGTCCTCGTCGTCGCCGACGCTGGCAGATGCCGCGGGCACAGCAGGTGCGCCACATCGGAGGTCGGCTTGCCAGCAGGTCCTCCAGTGGCCCCAGGAACCCACAGAAGCTCTGTCAGGAGGGAAAAACACACAGACACAATGAATCGTCGATTCCCAAGAAAATATGGGAAAACATAGGAAGTGGTGGGGAAGACGACCACCCAGAAAAGATTGGAACATATGGGGAATCGGGTTATTTGTGTGTATTTATTTGTGTGTCCCAGGGCCCCTTCACTCTGGCGCACCTCAGGGCCTTTTAGACGAAGGATACGGCGCAAGAGCTCTCACATCAAGATTTTTCTTGTCGGGCCCTCGGTCCGTCGGCGACGCGGGCGCCGCCGCGGGCGTTCTCCTGTTCCCCCCGTTCTCCTGTTCCCAAACCATGCTCCTCCTCCTCCTCCTCCTCCTCCTCCTCCTCCTCCTCATGCCCTCTCCTTCTCCTCCTCCTCCTCCTCCTCCTCCTCCTCCTCCTCCTCCTCCTACTTGTCCTCCTCCTCCTTGTTTTTTTTCCTCCTCCGTCACCCTCTTCCTCCTCGTCCTCCTCCTGATTGCCCGCCAGCCCCTCATACCTCCTTCTCCTCCTCCTATTCCTGTTTCTCCGTTTCCTCTTCCTCCTCTTTCTGGCATTGCTCTTCTGCTACGCTCGTCACCTCATCATCTTTCTTCTTCTCCTCCTCCTCCGCCCATCTCCTTCTCCTCCTCCTCCTCCTCCTCCGAGCCGTTGTGGCTCAGGTTTGCGGCCTGAGGCTTCAAGGGCGTTCTTCAGAGCGGCTCGCGCTTGCGAGCCTGGCAGTTTCCATACGAGGGTACCAGTGGCTGCTCCAGGAGACGACTCATGGTATCGCCGCTGCCCGATGTGCTACCAGCTGCGAGCACGGCCTACTGGGAGTATTCGTGTGGGTGTTGGGGCACTTGGGCGTCGCGCATCAAGTGCACGGGATGTGGTAAGTCGACACCAGCCGAGACGGGGGCGGTTGCCCGCGCCAGGGGGCAACAAGGGCGCGTGGGCATAATGGCCTCTTGGGCATGCCGCCCAGCTTCGTCTCATCCAGGAGTTGCGCGTCAAGATGGCCGAGCTCCGCGGCGAGCCAGCGCTGGCAACACCGCCATGGTTTTTTCCCCCTGCAAGTACCGAAAAGCGGGGGCAAGGGGCAGGATGACGGCTCCACGGACAAAGACGAGGAAGAAGGCAAGGGGAGCCCACCAGCTTCGGCATCAGGGGAGCTCTCGTACGCGGCGGTGCTGCAGTTCCTCAAGAAGAAGTGCCTGGACATGGCCAGCGCAGAGGCGGCAGAGGCAGCAGCCCAGGCCAACCCAGCCGTGGCAAAGGCCCCACGCCAATGTCGGCATGGTGGCAGGTGGGGAACCTTCACAACAACCCAGAAGTCTCAGACCCATTCGGCCGAGCTTGGGTCGCAGCGGACCTGGATAAACGAAACATGGCTGCGATCAAAAAGGGGATCGCTCAAGCCAAGCAGGGCTTGGTGGCGGCCCAAGACGTGTTGGCCAATATCCAAGCGGGGACGCACGACAAAACCCACGAGGGCGCGCACAGCGGGGCTGGAGCCTGCAGTGGTCTCCCCGCAGGAGGTCACGGACGCTCTCGCCGTCCTGGAGGGTCTGCAGCGGCAGGCTCCATCAGACGCTGCGGATGCCCAGGCCGCCGTTGAGGCCCAGGCTACGGCTCGAACCCATGGCGGTGCTCCTCCTATTGCTGTGGCTGCTCCTGCAGGCAGGTCTGCAGCTGACGAGCCTGTCAACAAAGATGACATCGACGTGGACCTGCCGTGGGCGACGACTTCGCCGAGCGACAGGCGGCCTTCGCAGCAGCCGCGGAGGAGCTCAGCAGACCGGCGCATGCACCTGCTGAGCAGCAGGCCGAGGCCAAGTGCAAGAATCGTGATGCGGCGGCCAAGCTCGGCGTCGAGCATGCTTGGACGGTGCGCCGCGGCGTGTTAAGTGCAGGCGGCCTGGGCGAGTTCGACCTCCAGGCGTGCTGGGAGGCTGGCGTGCTATGGACTTCGTCGATCGGTGCACTCACCCAGCCTGAGAAGGTGGAGACCCCCTTGTCGCAGGCACTGACCTCAACCTGTAGTGGAGGGTCTTCGGGTCCTCCCAGGGGGGAATCGCTGGCGGTTGGACAGAGGTTGCCAACATGCCCAACGTGGACTGTGCACTTCGGGTCCCTTGACGACTGGCGCGGGTGGGGCTTCTCACAAGAGCTACATCAGGGAGTTGCGGGCAGCCACTGATAAATTGCCCGAGCCGGCTCTTCGTGAATGGACTGCTGCAGCTAAGCTGGTTGCGGTTTCAATGCTGCCCTGCCCGCGCGGATTCTGGAACCGGGTGCGTTTTGGATTTTTGCGGGGGGGGCTGCTGCAACTACGCCGGTTGCGGGATTGCGCCGCGTTCGTCGTCGAGCGGGTCTTCGTGGGCGGTCTCGGGGTCAGGTGCGCGTGCCCCGACGGGGCCTTCTGCGCGGACAGGACCGTCGGCGTTAGAACGCAATGCTGTCGCGCGCTCCTGGAGCGCGGCAGCTCCACGTCGCAACTATTCGAAAGATTCCGCTATGTATCTCTCGCCTCAGAACGGTGCTCCCAAGGTTTTGAGTAGCTTGCTATGCATAGGAGGGGCGGCTGCCAATGCGTGGGACACGTTCGCCTTGGAGATTCATTGGTGCGAAGACAAAGCGCGCGCCTTGCATGGAGACGGTGGCGACGCGAGGAGTCGAGATCACCCGACCACGCGGCCCCGCATCATCGGCGCCTGGCAGACGCGCCGCAAGACGTTCGAGAAGAATCACCAAGCGAGAGGCTCGGGTGAGCGCCAAGAACGGCATTTGGCTCTGGGCGCGGCTGACAGGGGACAGGGGATCGCAGCCACCGTGAGTCGCGCCCTAACCTGTCCACGGCCAGTGGAGCTGGCGGCCAGTCGCGCTCATCCGGCGATGCGGCGCAGCAGCGGCTGCCTGTCAGGCGGCCTGATATACGCCTCGGCTTATTTATTCATCCATTAAGGAGTGGCAGGGGGCAACTTGGGAATGCTAGATGCCCCGAGTTCCTCGCTAAAGCAATTTCCATGTTTTCTGGGTCGCCCGGCCAAGTTGGAACTTCATGCCCAAGGACTCGAAAGCTGCCATGGTGGTCGGCGAAAATATGGGGGCTGCCTGTCCCGCGGGATCCGCCGCAGCCCGTTCAGGGCCCTCGCCCGCGGGAGTGGGGGCCCCTGGCGGCACCGCCAAGGGGGGCAATGTAGAGGGCCACGGGGGAGAGGGAGTTGGACAACTTCGTGGGTGCGCGCTGACTCTCTCACTGCGTGCGGAATGTCCGTGATTTGCCAAATGCGCCGCCGTGGCCTCGCGCGCCCGTTGGCGCGGCGTTGCGCGGATCAGCGCCGCGTTTTACATGCGCCGAGCAGGCCGAGTGCACGCCGTGCCCACTGGAGCCCTCGTCGAGCCCCGGCTGGGCCCTGGCGAAGCCGGTTGAAGCTGGTGGCCCTGAGTTGTTCACTGCGTGGGGTCCATGGTCATGGAGCGGCCCGCCCATGCCGTGCATTGGCGCGTTGGATTCCACAGCGTGCGCAGCGCTCGCAGGGGCCGCTTCATCGGGCGGGCTGGGGGCCCGAAGACTGCCAAGGTTTCTTCGGGGGCAGCGTGGGCGAGGGAGTCCGGGGGGGCATATTCGGCACGGGCCGCCCGATTGATGTCTTTCAAGGCGTTATATCTCGGCGCTTTTCTGTTCTCGCGCAGCAGAGCCTCGGACTGCGCGGGCGGGCCGCGCTGCGCGCGTGGCCCCAGGCTTGGGGCTGCTCGGCGCCGGGCGCTGCCCCGCCGCGCAGCTGCGCGCGCAGTCGATTTTGTTCTGCGCGATTGGTTCTTCGCGGCTGCGACGCGGCAGCGGCGCCGCGGGCACTTGTCGAATGCGAGGGGCGCGTCGCAAGTCCGAGGGCGGGAGACTCGGAGAGGTCGTCGCGGGTGGAGGGGGGCGGGCAAAGGGGTCAGTCAAGGGGAGGGGCATGGCAGCGCATGCGTGCACTCGTGCTATGCGGACTGATCAGAGCGCCCTATTTGCGACCGACGGTGATGGCGGAAGTTCGCCTGTCAACGGCGATTTTGCCACGCGAGAATTTATCGAGAGCGGCCCCCTTGTTGTCGCGAGGGTGACCGCGTGGGCCCGGGGCGCCCAGTCGCATGCACGTGAGAACGGTCCGAGCGCATGGGCGGTCCAGGTGGATGGGGTCAGGCCGATAGGGCCCCTCTGTATGTTCATGGGGATATGGTCGAAGTGCAGGCAGGGGATGTGCCGGGGGCGGGAATGGCTCCATGCTTATCCAGTGGTTTGGGGGAGCGCAGCTACCGCAACATGCAAGCGTGTCGGCTAGGTTCACAGCATGTTCTCACACATGGTTAAAGTCATGGGTACTTCAGCTGCGACGGCCTCCTAGATTGCATATACCGCTTGGACCTGCGCCGAGCAGGAGCGAGGGGATGTCTCCTCGTCCCAGCCTGAAGTCGGGCCTGTCCCTCTACTCAGGGGGGAAATCCAGAAGTGGGCAGACGATACTCTGGGGACGATTTGTCGATTAGCTTTGGCAATTCATGAATATGTTCAGGAGAACAAAAAGTGGCATAAGCATAGAATTTAGGAGGTCCGCGCAGATTTCTCGGATCGGCGCTCGGCCCCCTTCGGCGGCGCCTCCGGCGCCGCCCCTGGCGCGCTCCGCGCGCCAGGGAAGGGGGCCCCAGCGCCGATCCGAGAAATCCGCGCGGTCTTCCGAGCTTTTATGTGCATGCCGCTTTTTGCTCCCCTAGTGTTTGATGTTTTGCTAGAGGGAATTCTGTCCACCCCCGACACTCGGGAGTGGCTTGCGGTGGCAGCGGCCCCCGGACGCGCGCGGCTGCGCGGGGCGCCCGCGGAGGCCCCGCGCGCGGCCGCGCAGAGCGCCGGCCCCTGCCGCGCCGCGGCAGCGATCGGCGGGGCGCCGCTCGAAGGAGTCGTGCGCCAGCGGGCAACCGCGGAGTGCCGCCAATTCCTCCTCCTCCTCCTCCCCCTCCCCCTCCTCCTCCTCCTCCGAGCGAGCTTCTCCGAAGTGCATTGCTGGGCGTGCGTACTTGTCGGCCGCTGGCGTTGCGGCTCAAGTCTAATTCAGAGGGCGGCGCATGGGGGTCATCTCTTTCCTTCGTGCCAAAGCCTTGCCATTCGCCCTCAGTCAGTTGCCCCATGCAGTCCAGGTGCTGATACCAGGGCACGAGGACGCGGGTGGGTGCCTCCTCCTCTCGGAGCTCACGGGCAGCTTGCGGGGCTTCCTCGTAGGGCTGTGCGCCCTCTGCTTCCTGATCGGAGCTGCTGCGGGGTGCTGCTGCTGTGCCGTGGGCTATGGAGGCTGGGCAACGTGTCGGCGTCCTGTGGCAGGCCGGACGGGACTGGCAAGTGAGAATCATCATCTGCGAATGCCCGCCCGGGGAGTACACCGACGTCGTCGGCGACCCAGTACCTCCAGCTCTAGTGACGAAGTGCTTCTATTGTCTCACTCCAGACGGAGACATCTATCCGCACCTCCTAGCGGTCGGGCCTCTGGCTGGGGTGGTGGTGCTCGACAAGATGGGCCAGCCCATCGACTCCACGTCCGAAGGCCAGAAGTTACGGAGGAGACACTCGGTGTACGGCGCCGACTGGGAGCCGACGCCGCTCGACTACGTAGCAGCCTTGCAGTTCTGCCGCCCCGAGGTTCTCTCCAACGGTCACCCGAGCCGGCGGCTCCGTGGGAAGCAGCCGCTGCCAGCATCGGGAACGCCGTCAGGGGATGGGGCATCGAAGGTTCCGACTAACATGGAGGTCTCAGAGGGGGCCCTGCCGACGCCGCCCGACGGGCACTGCTGGGAGATCCTCGCCACGACGGGCTCGGACACAGCGCGCGCGGAGTTTCTCGGCGGCGCGACCGACGGGTGCGCAGTCGCAGGTGGCTTCGGGCTCGTGCTGATGGGCTCGGAGGCGCATGTCGTGAGAGTGGTGAAGCGTGACGAGCTCGGAGGCGACGGTGACTTAGACGCCCGGGTGCTCAGCATCAAGGTGAATTCCGAGGGAGAGCGGCGCCGTCTGTTCAAGGATGCCGTCAACCTCCTCAGCGAGACGAGCTGGCCCTTCTGGCCAGTGCTCGGTCCGCGCACCACTCGCTGGTGCCTGCGGTTCCTGGCGGACCAGGGCGCTCACCCGCGGGCACGGCACGCGAAGTGGAGGCACGAGACCGGGCTCTCATCCAGCGACCCCGGCGTTGCCGAGCACGAGCTGTGTATGCGCGTGTTCGACGTAGCCATGTCTTTCGACCAGCTGAACGTCAGCGAGCTGGCCTCTTTCGAATACATCGCGAGGCGGGCGCAGCTCATTGAGCACCGCTACCGCGAGAGGGCCATTGGCCGGCCCGACGGCATCGACGGGGCCGAGGACGACTACCTCATGATGGGGACCTCGGAGACGCGCGGCCACCTGATGATCGCGCCGGAGCTCCAGGACTACATCACGGCCGAGCTCCACCGCGAAGCGGGCGTGCTCAAGGAGCGGCGCAAGCTTCGCGAGGAGCGGGCCATCTCTTCTCGCGGCGGCGGCGGAGGCGGCGCAGGCAGGGGCGGCGACGACAAGGGCTCGCTGCAGCAGAAGATCCAGCAGCAGGCGGCGGAGCTCAAGCGGCCCCAGGCGGGCCGTGGCAGCGGCGGCGGAGGCGGCGGCGGCCAGCAGGAGGGCGATGCCGGAGGCGGCCGCGGTGGCGGCCGCGGGGGCAAGTAGCCCCCAGGCGCCGCCCGCCGGCCGGGCCGCCCCTGGGCGTGCCCTGCCGGCTTCTCGGCTGGGATGGTGGTCGCTCGCGAGCTGCTGCCTATCAACCTGGCCGCCCTCTCGGCCCCGCGCGAGCCGCCTGGCGCTGGCCGCTGCAGCCGCAGCGTCTGCAGCCGGGTCCTCCGCCGGACCCTCGTCGACGAGCGCGTGCGTGAGTCGGTGACCGCCCTCAACCTTTTGTACAACCACGGCGAGGCCCAGGTCTCGCACCAACTTTCTCTCGCTCAGGTCCGTGGTGTCGAGCATCTCCGACGTGGTTGGGAGCGACTCGGTGCCCCGGAGGTGAGCCCCGCGGCAGCCTGCAGTGAGCTGTGCGGGAGCAGGCCCGGGCATGGCGACCCGGTGAAGACGGCTCCTTACCAGCGAGACCTCGTCTCGCTGCCGACCGGCGGGGTCCTGGCCGAGGGGGGCCGGTGCCTCGGCGGTGCGGCTTTAAGTTTCTGGAAGGAGTGGCGACAGCATCTTTTGCGGCCCGGTGTCAGCCGGGAGGTAGTGCAGAAATTCAAGCCCCACGTCGACAGTCGACTACGTGCGAAGGGTACCTATGCCCAGTTCGCGTTAGACCTCCAGGCCGCCGGTTTGGTGAACCTGAGAGGCCGCCTCGACGCGACCTTGGGGGTGTTCTTCGCGTGGAAGAGTGACGGCGTCAGGCAGAGGCTGATATTCGATACTAGGGGTAGCAACGAGTTTTTCAATTCGCCAGAGTATTCTCAGTTGCCCACGGCTAGTGCATGGAACTCTTTGTATGTGCCAGATCAATGCGAGCTCTCTTTGTGCCAGGCAGACGTTGACAATGCATTCTATCGGATCGGCCTGCCCGCTGGGATTGAAGATTATTTTGTCCTCCCTCCTGTCTCTTGTCGTCACCTCGAGGCACTTTGCCCGGGCAGCTCCGGGGAGCTTCGCGGGGTTGGGGAGCTTTCGCCCGTCCTCCGCGTGTTAGCCATGGGGTGGTCTTGGTCTTTATACTTCTGTCAGTGTATGGTAGAACACTGTTCTTGACTCCGGCCTCCCCCCCTCCAGACTTGTCCAGGATAGACGGGCAGCCGCCGGCCTCGAGGAAGGGCCTCTTGCTGCCGTGTATGTCGACGGGGTCGCTTTCCTCGGGACCAGCGAAAAGTGCTGCTCGGACGGATGCGCGTCCGCCGTCGAGCTCCTGGGATCTCGTGGTCTGGTTTGCAAAGGGATGGTCGGGGCGTCTGAACAGCAGTCTTTCACAGGCCTCACGTTCGAACGCAGCTCTGGAATCATTTCGCTTTCGACCCGGCGCTTGTGGAAAATTCGCCTGGGGCTCTTGGAGCTCTGCCGTCAGGGCTGGTGCACCGGGGTCCAGCTGCGCCGGGTTTTGGGCCATTTAACCTGGGCCTTCTTGCTGAAACGTGAGCTTTTGTCTATCCTCAGCAGCGCTTTCCGTTTTTGGTGAAATGGCCAGGGAGCAGCGGTGGCGTCTCTGGAGTTGTGTGACTCGGGAGCTGCGGATCGCAGCAGCACTTCTGCCGTTCGCCGCTGTCGACACCAAGAGGCCGTTCGACCCGTGCGTGATGGCCTCCGACGCCTCCGGGGCCACCGAGTTCGACTTCGGGGGTTTCGGCGTCTGCGAGCGGGCCTGGGACTCGGAGGCAGTTCGAGCCGTGGCCAGCCGTGCGGAGAAGTGGAGGTACTGCGTCGAGGATGCCATCTGCGCCCGGGAGCAGAGTCTCGTCTCGGGCTGGTCCCTCAAGGCCCCTCCAAGCCTCGAATTTCCCAAGTGAGAGCCCGCCGTGGGGTCACCGACTTCTTCCACATCGATGGGGAGCAGATCGGGGATTTCGACACCTGGTCCACCGTTTTGTTCGGCCGGTTCGCCTCGTCGGAGAATATCATGCGGGCGGAGGGGCGGGCCCTGGTGATGGGGGCCCGACACAAGCTACGAAACGTCAGCAGCTTCGGTCGCCGTCATCTGCTTCTGTGCGACAATATGTCTGTGGTCTTAGCTACGGGAAAGGGGCGTTCGACATCCCCACTGCTGAATCGAACATGTCAGGAGTTACTGTGTCTTTCTATTCTCTCAAATACTTCATTCGTGGTCCGATGGATTGCATCAGAGTTGAACCCTGCAGACGACCCCTCTCGCAGCCTCTCGGCCCGCGCCAGCGCCTGGAGGCGCGACCCACGCGGGCCGGCGTTCCGCGATGCTCCGGCGGCCTGGGCCAGGCCTGGAGGCGCGGCCGGCGCGAGCCTTTCGGCCGGCGCTGCCTTCGATCGTGAGCTCGAGCGGACCATCGTGCAGCGGGCCCGCGGACAGCTTGCAGCTCCGCTCGGGCTTTGTGGGCTCGGCGACGGCCTCGATCCCGAGGCCCGCCCCGCTGGCCTGGCGCGGTGCGACGTCGAGCCCATCGGCGACAGCGGTGACCGCGGTGGTGGCCGCGCCAGCTCGTCCACCTCGTCCAGTCGCTCGGGCAGTCCGGGCTCAGGGAGCCGCCGCAGCTGCTGCAGTTCGCGGCGGACGGACCGCGCGGGCCAAGAGGGCGGCGCGAGCCGCCGCTCTGCAGGCTCGTCGCGCGGCCCATCGGCGCCGCCTTCTGCCCGCAGCCTCCAGGGCTGCGGCAGAGGGCCTGACGTTCCTCTCTCGAGCGGGGCACGGGACACAGCTGCAGCACCAGCGGGCCTACACCGACTTCCTGGACTGGAGCCGGGGGGAGAAGCTGAGGATCAGCACCGTGGCCGATTTAGACCGGGCCCTCGCCAGCTATCTGGATCACCTGTTCTTCGACGGTTGGAATCGGGACCAGGGCGAGAAGACCTTGGCGGCTGTCCTTTTCTTTCGCCCGAGCCAGGGCTTGAAGCGGCCAGGGGCCCTGGAGGGCAGCCGAGCCGCACGCGAGGGTTTCAAGAAGATGGCTCCTGGCAAGACCCGCAGACCACTTCCCAAGCAGGGGGTCTTCGCGATCATCGGGGCCGGCGTGTTCTGCGGCTTGCTCGACTTCTGCCTCGGCCTCCTCGTCGCCTGGGACGCGTGCCTCAGGTTGCCCTGCGACCTGATTGGCATGGTGGGTGGATCCCTGGTGGCGCCAGCTCGGCGGAGCCGGATCAACCGGTGGGCCATCTTGCTGTTCCCCGAGGAGCTGCCCGATCGGAGCAAGACGGGCCACTTCGACGAGGGGATGGTGCTAGAGTCGGACGCCGTGCAGAGCGTGAGCTTCGCCCTGAAGGCCCTGAAGTCGCGGAGCCAGGCGGACGAGCCTCTGTGGCCGTTCTCCGGCCCAAGGTTCCGCCAGGATTTCGCCGCGTGCGCCAGCCTGGCGGGGCTCGAGGACGCGCGCCCGTACCAGGTCCGCCACGGGGCCGCCTCCCACGACGCGCTGTTCAAAGTGAGGGAGTTCGGAGCGGTCCAGGAGCGGCTCAGGCACCTGAGCGAGTCCAGTACACGGCGGCACCGCAAGGGGACCCGCTACCTGGCCGAGTGCGAGAAGCTGTCCCCCGAGATCAAGGCGTTCGGCGAGTGGGTCGAGGCCAACCTCGCCGGCCTCTTCTCCGGGCGGCTGCGCTGCCAAGCGCCACCAGGGCGCAGGGGCTGAGCGCCGCCGCCCGAGTGGCAGGACTCTGGAAGGCTGGTGACACTCTCGACTCCGCGACCCGCTTGAGCCGAGACGCCATCCATCGAGCATGGTCTCAGGCCTTTTCGGCCGCCTCCGCCGCTGCTCCCCACAAAGGCCAAGTTTTCCTTGACTTGTTCTCTGGGGCTGGGGGTATCGCTCGCGGTCTTCGTAAGTGTGGCGGTTGGGGAGTCATTGAGGTCGACGCTAAGTTTAACCCCGCTTTTAATCTCAACAACCCCTTGGTCGTGGATCTGATCGCGGGGTGGATCAGCAGCAAGCTGGTCCGGGGGATTTGGCCGGCCTTTCCCTGTTCCGCGTGGAGCGTCGCATCCCGCGGGCGGTACCGAACCCACTCCCAACTTTTCGGGCGAGCCGACCTGGACCCTGTCGGCCTCGAGCGGGCCTTGGCGGGCAACCGCTCCCTCCTCGCCACGTGTCGGATCGTTGGCTCGTGTATTCGAGCCCGGGTCCCAGCGGTCGCCGAGAATCCCAGCAGTAGTCTCGCATGGTTCACACCTAACATGAAAAGATTAGCCACTCATCCTGCCTGCCGAGCTTATGTTTTGATTTTTGCCAATTCAAAGCGCCTTGGCGCAAGCGCACAAAAATTTTGGCCTGGCACCTCCAGCTTGCTCCTCCCTCTTTCTCCTGTCTTTGTTCCTCCCGCCGAGTGTGTGATTTTTCCGGGGAGGCCCACGCCCACCTTTCTGGCGCAATCCCGGGGTCGTCTCAAAAATGGACCTCCCGCGCCGAGCCCTATCCGTCACGCATGTGCACTGAAGGGGCCAAGTGGTTGTGGGCCTCCGCCGGGGCCATCGAAGCAAGTCGTCTGAATCAACTCGCGTGCCAGTGACTTTATGTGATTGCTTGCCCTCTGAAGACGGCCTTAGCGGCCAGGGCATAGAATGGGAATTGGTGATGTTGCGAAGCCTGCTCAGTTGACCTCGGCTCGAGGCCGAATCCTTTGCGCTGCCTTCCCAATTCGCTGAGATCTCAGCTGGCTGTCGATTCCTACATAATCTGGTTCTGGCCCCTCGGGAGAGGAAAAGGTGAGCGCGCCCTGCAGAGCGAGCTTCTCCGAAGTACATTGCTGGGCGTGCGTACTTGTCGGCCGCTGGTGTTGCGGCTCAAGTCTACCTCCTCCTCCCCTCCACCTCCTCGCCGTGTCGCAGCATGCCGCCTCTCTCTACGGCGGTGATGTTGCGAAGCCTGCTCAGTTGACCTCGGCTCGAGGCCGAATCCTTTGCGCTGCCTTCCCAATTCGCTGAGATCTCAGCTGGCTGTCGATTCCTACATAATCTGGTTCTGGCCCCTCGGGAGAGGAAAAGGTGAGCGCGCCCTGCATCCTCCTCCCTCCCTTTCTCCTCCTCCTCCTCCTCCTCCCTCCCTCCCTCCCTCCCTCCCTCCTCTCCCTCCCTCCCTCCCTCCCCCTCCTCCTCCTCCTCCTCCTCCTCCTCCTCCTCCTCCTCCTCCTCCTCCTCCTCCTCCTCCTCCTCCCCCTCCTCCCACTCCTCCTCCTCCCCCTCCTCCTCCTCTCCCCCTCCTCCTCCTCCTCCTCCCTCCCTCCCTCCCTCCCTCCCTCCCTCCCTCTCCCTCCCTCCCTTTTCTCCTCCTCCTCCTCCTCCTCCTCCTCCTCCTCCTCCTCCCCTTCCTCCTCCTCCTCCTCCTCCTCCTCCTCCTCCTCCCCCTCCTCCTCCTCCTCCTCTTCCTCCCTCCCTCCTCCTCCTCTTTTTCCTCCTCCTCCTCCTCCTTCCCCTCCTCCTCCTCCCCTTCCTCCTCCCTTTCCTCCGCCCCTTCCTCCTCCTCCCCTTCCTCCTCTTCCTCCTCCTCCTCCTCCTCCTCCTCCTCCTCCTCCTCCTCGGTCGGTCGGTCGGTCGGAACTAAAGGCCGGTTCGAGTCGAAGCCTCTCCTAGGTGTGGGGTGCAGGGCAAGGGAAAATGGACAGAGCGCTCCTACGGAGCAGGGCTGCAGGGCACGTGCAGTTAGACATCAGGGGTCAAGTCCAACACGGAGGCCAACAGCAAAAAAGAGAGCGGGGGCCGTGCAATGCAGGGAACGGGTCCAAGGGCTTCCAGAACTCGAATCCACCCCCGAACACATTCACCACTTCACCCACATCACTGCACAGCAACCCTTTCCTCCACTCATGTGTGAAAGCGGACGCAAGCACATGATATAACCTTGCGCGGAAATCACTCTGCCAGTTTGGCGCTCTCCCGTCAAGTCCCATGTGGGAGTGCGCTTCCCTGCAGACTCCCCAGCCTTTCTCCCTCAGCTCTCCTTCGAGGGTGTCTAAGGACACACTCCACGTGGCAATCGGTTCCCATCTCGTGTGCTGTCCAAACGTGCAACTATCAAGAACGTGTGAGGCCATCACTTTCTTTTTCCCGCCAGAGCAACCTCAGGCACATCCTGAATTTTACAACCATGTCCAACTTCGCGCTGTACAATCGAAGTCCACGGAACCTTGTGCAAGGCGGCCGCACAAACGAGCTCGAGACAGTCTCTCAAGTATTTGTTCTCGGCCTTGACACAACTTCGCTCTCTGGCGTTCAAATTGGGTCGGCCCCAGGCGCGATCACGATTCCTCGGAGGTTTCACACGGGACGCAAGGGTCCCTCTCAGACCAGGCACAGCAAAAAACCCTCCACATAATTTTCCATCCCTCATCAGATCCGTCCATTTCTTTACATTTTGCTCAAGCCACTCCACGTGAGACACATGGATGAACTGAACGTGCACACTCAAAGTCGAGCTCTTGGCCTCGATATGGCATTGAAAATCCTCCTCTTTCCTCTCTCCTGAGCTGACAATGAGAAAAAAGGGCTGAAGCATGGCGTTGGAGGGTCTCCCAACTCCTCCTCCTCCTCCTCCTCCTCCTCCTCCTCCTCCTCCTCCTCCTCCTCCTCCTCCTCCTCCTCCCACTCCTCCTCCTCCTCCTCCTCCTCCTCCGTTCCTCCTCCTCCTCCTCCTCCTCCTCCTGCTCCTGCTCCTCCTGCTCCTCTGCGCGCGGCGAGTCGCTCCGTTTCGCGGGCGGCGAGGGCCGGGAGAGGCTCGTGGCGTCGACGGCTGGGGAACGGGAGAACCCCCCGAATGGCACTTCGGATTATGATGCTCCAACCTACTCTAGCCTTGATCACCAGAAAGAATTTCGAGCGCCAGAAAAAGCGCCGAAACTCAAGGGTTTTCACGTCTCGGACCCTGGGAGACACTCGCCCGACACTGTTTCGACACTGTCTCGACACTCTTTTGACACTTGTCCGGGTGCTCGAAATTATTTTGGGATGTGGTCCTTAAGTAGGATGGGAACAACATAAACTTCGGAGGCATTGCGAAAGCAGACGCTGCAGGGGGCCACCACGATGATTTCTGGCACTACCGGGGCCGCATCGCGGTGGCGCTCGGCCAGGTCCGGCGCGGCCCCACCCGCGGGCCTGGAGCATGCTTGAATGTCTTTGGAGCACTTGCAGTAATAATGATCCCCGGTGGTTCGAACGAACAGCTTCACACATATTCCAACACACTCAGAGATGTCCAAAGATACCCAAAGGCATTCAAGCCGGACGAGATGGGATTTGGGTTGGGATTCGGGATTGGTCCTGAGGCGGAAACCGCGCCAGCCAGTCGACCGGCCCTCCCTCGGGAAGCCAATGCACACTGCAGGGTGCGCCGCGTATGCGTGCGATGCTGTCGATTGCAGGGGGTGGGACCCGAACCTGGCGCGCTAAGGTGCGAGCGCAATTAGGCGATGCGGGTGCCGACGTGAGGCCAAGCTCATCCCCACAAGAAACACCGCCCGACCCCCTTCGGGCCAGCAACAGAGGTCACTCCTATAGTGCTCTTACGTGTAGTTGTTATATAGATATGTATATATATATGTCTATATATAGACATATCCATATATATATACATATCTACATGTTTATATATCTATATATGTATACATATACATATATACGTATCGGTCGATATATATATATATATATATATATATCTTTATATATATATATGTCTATATATATTTCAGGTGCGATCCCAAAGAACGGGGCCCCACCCCAGTGAACCTTAAGAGGACCTAAGAGAGCCTTAGCCTACAGCCCTAGACGCCACACCATAGAGGCTCTGGGCACTTGGGCCCTAGCGGCCGGGACGTGCCTGCGCGTGGCGCTGCTGAATACGAAACTCACTCAATATTTTCCTGCACGGACCTCGAGAGATAACTTGTTATCATTCACTGCTGAGAAATATTCACATCTGTGTGCGGTCACGCACACCTCCCCGGCAGACTGGAATGAACGTGTGATCTGATGGATAGCCTGCGTTGAAAGAAAAGCACTCGGTCGACCTGATCTTCGCTAGGTCCGAGCGAGGGGGCGGGATGCCTGAAGGGAAACGGTAAGAACCCCCCGCTGCGTGGTGCTGACCACGGCTCGGGGGGGACGGCAGAACGAACGGGCAGCAAGTGAGACCTGTACCGAGGACCGAGGGCTGGGAGGGTGCCTTGAACTTGAAACGGTTTCGGGCGCAGGCAAGACCTGGAGACAACGTCCGAAACAACAAGACATATCCCGCCCTATGGCCCCTTCGCTAACCTATCTGAAAATCAACGTTCACAAACTCACTCACCCATTTCAGGTGCGATCCCAAAGAACGGGGCCCCACCCCAGTGAACCTTAAGAGGACCTAGAGAGCCTACAGCCCTAGACGCCACACCCTAGAGGCTCTGGGCACTTGGGCCCTAGCGGCCGGGACGTGCCTGCGCGTGGCGCTGCTGAATACGAAACTCACTCAATATTTTCCTGCACGGACCTCGAGAGATAACTTGTTATCATTCACTGCTGAGAAATATTCACATCTGTGTGCGGTCACGCACACCTCCCCGGCAGACTGGAATGAACGTGTGATCTGATGGATAGCCTGCGTTGAAAGAAAAGCACTCGGTCGACCTGATCTTCGCTAGGTCCTCGCTCCACCACCCG